ATCCTGATGCCACAATTCTCCTCATAGAGCCCAGCCTCTCGGATAATCTGCTCTGCATACACGTTGAAAAGGTATGGAGACAGGATGCATCCCTAGCGTACACCCTTGCCAATTTTGAACCATGCAGTGTTTCCTTGCTCTGTTCTGACGACTGCCTCTTGGTCCAAGTATAGGTTTCTCATTAGCACAACCAAATATTCTGGGATTCTCATTCTTCTCATTGTTATGATTCACACAGTCAAACGCCTTTGTATAATCAATAAAGCACAGATAGACATTCTTCTGGTATTCCCTGCTTTCAGCTAAGATCCATCGAACATTAGCTACAAATCCCTAGTATGACGTCCTCTTCTAAACCCAGCCTGGACTTCTGGCAGTTCTCTGCTGATGTGCTGTTCTAGTCGTTTTGGGATAATTTTAAGTAGAATCTTGCTTGCATGTGAAATCAGTGATATTGTTCTGTGTGTAGTTTCCACACTCTGTTGGGTCGCCTTTCTTTGGAATGGGAACAAATAGGTCTCTTCCAGTCAGTTGGTAAAGTGGTTGTTCTCCAGATTTCTTGGCACAACTTGGTGAGCACATCCAGGACAGCATCTGTTAGCTGAAATGTGTCAATTGGTATACCATCTATTCCTGGGGCCTTATTTTTTGCTATTTCCTTCAACGCAGCCTGAACTACTTTCTTCATCACCATAGGCTCTTGCTCATATGTTGTTTCATTAAATTCTTGTGTGTCTGCCAATTCCTTTTGATACAGTGACTTGGTATATTCTTTCCATCTTCTTTTAGTACTTCCTGGATCATTTAATATTCTACCTACAGCATCCTTGATATAGCAACTCGAGGTTTGAATTTGTTCTTCAGGTCCTTGAGCTTAAGAAATGCTGAGCGAGTTCGACCTTTTTGATTTTCTGACTCCAGCTCTTTGCACATTTCATTGTAATATTTTACTTTGTCATCCTACGCTGCCTTTTGAAATCTTCTAGTATCCCACCCCAAATGCGTGACGTACCCAAGTCAAGAAACTATATAATTGTGTTTAAAGATTTTGATCTGTGTATACGTATTTTCAAATATTAAATAAATATTTGTTAAATGCTATTAAAATTTCACATATATTTGAGTTTTGATTTAGTGTGACTTTTCCAGGTGATGAAATTCCAAAGATTAACGTATTGGTAAAGTTAGGATTTTTACGTAGATTTTTTTTACACACTTAGCCATTGCTTTTTCAATAATATAAACAAGATATTCTTATACTTTAATTTTAGAACTATGTTGTTAACAGATCCAAGTCTTAGCAACCCAGTGAACTGATGGAATCCTTGCCTGATGCTGCACCATGCTCACATTTTGCTATGCTTTAAGCTCACTGTTGGAGTCACGCTGTCAATCCATTTAGTCAAGGGTCTACTTTTCCAAGCAGGATTTCTTTTTCTAAGGACTAGCCCCTCCTGGCAACTGCCCAAATTATGAGAGACAAAGTTTCACTACCATCCTTTGCTGCTAAGGATCACACTCCGGCCCGATTTATTATTTTGTTAGAAGTCACTGAGATATTCAGTATTCTTTGCAAACACAACTTGGCCATTTTGTTCTTTTACCTTCCATATTCATAGTGAAAACATGCATATGAAGCAACTGAAAGTTCCCTGACTTGGATCAGGAAAACCTTTAACATCCTTGTTTTGAGCACTTTAAGGAGATCCTTGACAACAGATATGCTCAGTGCAAGATTCTTTGATTTCTTGCCTGCTGCTACCATGGGTCTCACTTATGGGTCCAAGTAAAATGAAATCCTTGACAATTTTCTTTGAATCTGTCTTCTATTTATCCTACTACCTGTTTGTGCAGTTGTGAGGATTTTTGTTTTCTTGATGTTAGAACCATAGAGCTACCTAACTAATGGAAGTCCAATTTGGAGTACTCGTGGATTTTCAACAAATTACTAACTCTTGGAATTTTTTTAAACTCTTGTAAAAAAATCACTCACTAGGGTGGAAAAGTATAGTCTTAGCTTTAAATACTTACTTTTGTTACTTGTATAATTTTAGATATCTGCTAAACTTGGAACAAATGTTGAAAGTGTTCTTCAGGCAGTCATTGAAAGAATACCCCCGTAAGTATTCTGCTCTTCTTATACTATTGACTTAAATTTAATAGACCAAAAACCATCAGTTTGATCTGTTATTTTAATGGTGGTCATGACAGATAAACTCTTGCAGTCAGAAACAATTCTTGATTTATATTTAGTACTAAATAAATGAAAAATACAGTGTAATACAGGGAAATAAAAAAAGAAGTATGATAAAGAGACTTAAGAACTGTGACAAATATTGTTCCTTGTTTTAAGACTGAGCAAATGCATTCTATCACTATTATAAGTAATTTTTAAGCAATCATTTTTAAATTGAAGACTGAATCCACTCTAGTTTAAGAGTAGGCATTATGCCTTATTTTACAGAAAAGTCCTTTTTCTTTCGGCTTCTTGGTACCAGTGTTTCTCAAGTTTGAATAAATAACTAGTGCTAGAATAAATTAAGCTTGTTTGAGTTGACAGTAATTATTAAGATTTTAATTTAATACATATTTTCTTTTTTAAAAATTTATTCTTTATAGTCCTAAAGTACATTGCAAAAATCCTCTGAGAGCTTTGGTATTTGACTCCACCTTTGACCAGTATAGGGGTGTGATAGCCAATGTAGCATTATTTGATGGAGTGGTTTCCAAAGGAGATAAAATTGTGTCTGCACATACGCAAAAGACCTATGAAGTTAATGAAGTAGGAATTCTGAATCCTAATGAACAGCCAACTTATAAATTGTAAGTAGTCTTTATTAGTAATTGGAATAAATTTGTATATAATTCTCTCACTGCTTCTTTCTCAACTTGATATATACATAATCATAATTTGGTAACTTAAAAGGGAAAAAATTATTATTTAATGCAACTGTACACTGACTACTTTGCCAAAAGGAATTTTATATGTGAAAGGTGGTAGAAATGTTTGCAAATTTAGAATATAATGAAACATTTTTAGTCCTAAGTCATAGCTTGACATTTATGTTTTCTAACTATATTTTTAACGTAAAGAGAGTATAGGAAGAGTCTCAGAGTGGCACAAACACATTTCTGAAAAGTTGGCGGTAGAACTCATTTGGAGGCAACTTGGATGACAAGACTGGCAGTTCTTCCAAAAGAAGCCTTGAGAGCTGTACAGAGCAGTTTGAATATGCATTTATGAAATCACCAGGAATCAGAAGCAACTGTTGCTATTATGTGTCATCAAGTCAGGTACATCCCATCTGTGAAGAACAGATCTGAATCCTGTCCTATTCTGTGCCATCATCAGTCCCTGACACTCTAGAGCCCATTGCAGCAGTCACTGTGTCATTCCACCTGGTTGAGGTTCTTCTCTTTCACTTTACCTCCACCTTTCTAAGTATGTTGTCTTTCTCCAAGGAATAGCCTCTCCTAACATCATGCCACCAGATTATGTGAAATGAAGCTTTTTATCTTTATCTCCAAGGAGCACTCTGGCTGCACTTTCTCCATGACATACTTGTTCATCCTTTGGCGGTCCATAGAATATTCCAAAAAAAGATGAAAAGAATACACAGAGTCACTGTACCAAAAAGAATTGACTAACACTGAAAAATTTCAGGAAGTACCATATGAGCAGGAGCCAGGAAGAATTTGAAGCTTGCACTGAAGGAGTCAGCAAAAAATAAGGCCCCAAGAATTGATGGGATACTGATTGACATAACTAACAGATACAACCCTGGATGTGCTTATCAGTCTATGCCAGGAAATTTGGAGGACAGTTGTCTAGACAACTGACTGTAAGAGATCCATGTTTGCTCCCATTCCCAAGAATCGAGGTGATAAAACAGAATGTAGGAACTATCAATATCATTAATATTACATGCAAGCAAAGTACTGCTGAAGATCATTCAAAAATAGCTAGAACAGTACATAGGTAAGGAGTTGCCTGACGTTCAAGCAGGATTTAGGTGAGGACATGGCACCAGCGATATCACTGTGGATCAGATGAATCCTGGCTGAAATTAATGAATACCAGAAGAATGCTTTATGCTTTAGTGTCTATGAGGAGATATTTAACTGTATGGTTCATAACAAGTTATGGTGAACATTGAGAAGAATGGGACTCCCAGAACATTTAATTGTGCTCATGTGAAACCGATACCCAGACCAAGAGGCTGTTGTGCAGAGTAAGGGAAGACTATATGGTTTAAAATGAAAAAAGGAGTGCCTTAGGGTTGTATTTTCTCTCCATAACTATTCAGTCAGTATACTGAGCAAATTATTTGAGAAGCTGAAAATTTTTTCATTATTATTATTAATTTTAATGAAAATTTATAGAGATTTTAGATTTCCATTTATTCACTGTTGCACTTTTCTCGCTGCCCACCCCTCCCCTCCAGTTCGTTCTTCTCTTTGAAAAGGAAAAGAAAAATTCTTTCATTGTTATACAGTCCCTCCTCCCAAGTCCACTGTACTATGCAGCCTTCATTCTGGACTCCTGTCATGACAATAAAACCCAGTCATAGATACCTTTTAAACAGTTCCTCTCTCATCTGTTTCAAGATGCAGACCAAAACAACTGTGAGATGTCATCTCACCCCTGTAAGAATAGCAAAATTTAACAGAACAGCAAACAACAAATGCTGAAGAGGTTGTGGAGAAACGAGAAGCTGAAATTTCTAAAGAAAAATGTGGCATCAGAATTGGAGGAAAACTCATCAGTAACCTGCAGTTATGCAGATGGCACCCCTTGCTTGCTGAAAGTAAGGTCTTGAAGAACTTCTAGAAGATCAAAGAATACAGCTTTCAATATGGACTGCATCTCAGTGTTAAGAAAACAAAAATTCTTACAACTGGACCCAGTACTCTTGGTAACAGTAGTTAGTTAATAAGGAGATGTATTATACTGGAAATGTCTGCAGTCAAGGACTTCTCCAAACTACTGAAGAGGAATGATGTCAGTTTGAGGAGTAAGGTTTGTCTGATTCAGGCTATGGTCTTATCATTTTCTATGCATCTGATAGCTAGAGAATAAATTAAGGATGAAAGAAAAAAAATTGATGCCTTTGAGCTGCAGTGTTGGAAAAAGTTTACTGAATATCCAATGGACAGAACTGACTAGCTGACATCTAATAACAACTGTGTTCTTCAACATAAATGTAGTATAGAAAGTGATATTTTAATTTGGGATTCTTGGTAAATTCTTGATTAAGTGGAAATCATGGAGAGTGAGGTTAGCAAAGCGTTTTGTATTAGAATAATTTCTTTAACTTCATGTCAGGTGCTCATACATAGATGACTTTGGGCCATCTTTGTTTCTTTATTAAAATTATGATATTGAAACATACGATTCTCTAGGTCATTATTTGAGGGTTTAATGTATGTATGAAATCAACAGTGTTTTTCTTATTCCTTTTATTTTACTTGTGTCTATTTTATTCAAATATTTCTGAAATCTGACTTGCTTCTGCCACACATAGAGACCATTACTGAGTCTGGTTAAGGTTTCTATACCTCACCCTTAACTTGAATTAGTTGTTTTTTAAGATGTAGAATTCAAAAGTATAAAGAATTGATTGAGATAAGCTCTGGGATTTTCTTTTCTAAAAAACTAAACAAACTCTGAAATTGTGAATTTTGCTCTTTTCCTATATGAGGAACATGGAATAGATTATCCGGTTTACTGAAGTAGATTATCAGATTTATCTTGTTTTTATGCCTGGTCAGAATTTTATTTCTCCCCTCCTTCCCTTAAAGTACATTTGTAACAACTGAGTACTCCTTCAGTGTTTGCATTAAATTTGAGAAGCTTTTGTTTAATTTACAAAGGATTTCAGATTACTGAAGCTTTTAAATTTTTTGTGGTGCAGGTTTTTAGTTAATGGATTATGAACATGGTGTCTTTTTTACTAAGACTACTTAGAGTTTGAAAATTGATTCATAGAACTTATTTTCACTTTGACCATGTTTTGTTGGAAAGTGTGTGATAAGTTTCCTGGGAAGTGGTACTTATTATGAGTATTCAGTAAATGTTATTTCCATGTAATGATTTTATTCAGGTATGCGGGACAGGTGGGCTATCTGATTGCTGGGATGAAAGATGTCACTGAAGCACAAATAGGAGATACATTTTATTTACATAAGCAACCAGTGGAGCCCTTGCCTGGGTTTAAATCAGTGAAACCAATGGTATTTGCAGGTGAGACAAATTCAAAGAATAAGGGCCAACTATTTTAACAAAAAAAGTCTGCAGTAAAAATTTATCAGGAAAAAAATAGTAATTATTCTAAGTATTTAATGGTACAGTATACTATTTTTTACTTGTTTTTTGTGTATTTGTATAGCAATTTATAATTTCATAATGATGAAATTTTATATGGAGATGATTTTGTTAAACTCCTTAAAACTTTTAAGAGGCATACTCTCCAATACAGAATAGATTTCCTTTAGATATCTCTAGAGAGTTAACCCAGTTCATATGTCAAACATTTTTTTCTGTTTAAGACATTTTTATTACTACTTAGCAGTAGACATTTACTGAATGCCTTCTTAGCTGGCCTTTCTTTAACATTGTTTTATAGTACTATATACTTGACAAAATAAATAGTTAACCCTGTGTCTGTATCACTTCAGAACCTTTTAATGCCATGTGATTTTTCAGACCTTAAAAAGGGAAGACTTGCCTGAAGATCGTTTGTTTGCTGTGTGCTAGCAGTTACTTTCCTTCTACAGTCTTTCTCATTGGGAATTTAGAAATTATTATCCCCATTTTTAGCAAAGACATTTAGATGTTAGAGGACTTAAGAGATGTGGGCTTCAGAAGGGTCAGATTCAAGAGAATCTGATAAATCAGTAATTCCTATGATTTCTTAACAATACTTTTATAGGTGTTGTTTTTTTTTTTTAATCTGCCTCTGAGACTTAGGAGTTCAGTGTAGGATTTTATTTCTACTTTTGTGTTTTTGTTATTAGTGGAGTTTATTTATGATTGTAGAACGGTTTGCACTTTTGTTTTTTCAACCAATATTTTTTAGGTCTGCTTTTCTGTTCTTTAGTTTTGTGATTTCTCTATATGGATGCAAAAAAAATATTTTTTTTTAGAGTGTGGCTCCAGTTGTAAATTCATCAAGGCTTATGACTTTGAAGATACTTTAAGACCAACAAAGATACAGAATTTTATCACTGAAATAATTGGATAGTAATAAAAAGCTATGTGATTAATACTGAATTTTGCAGCACTGCATATTAGAGCTGTTGACAGTCTTTCGCATGATAACTAGAATTCTTTCTGTCCCTAGGCATGTATCCCATTGACCAGTCTGAATATAATAATCTGAAGAGTGCTATAGAAAAACTGACTTTAAACGATTCCAGTGTAACAGCTTATAGGGATAGTAGCCTTGCTCTAGGCGCTGGATGGAGGTAAGATTCAGTGCATTGCTCTCCCCTATTTTTAAAAATAAGTCATAGAAGTGTGAAAAATGAATTATACAATTTACATCTCCATTCTTCATACCATGGATTGACATCCTGAGTGTAATTTTATAATTTCTAATAGAATCCTAATGGAATATTTGAATATTATTTCATAAAATTATAAGCATTTAATTATTATATAAATTTTCACATACTTCTTTTGATACTACTCTTCACTACTAAAAACAATGTGTTTATCAGAGAAAATACAGCCCATAAGCCACACATATTTTGGAGTTTGCCTTTTCACCCCCAGGCTGGGATTTCTTGGACTCTTGCATATGGAAGTTTTCAACCAGCGACTAGAGCAAGAATATAATGCTTCTGTAATTTTGACAGCTCCCACTGTTCCATATAAAGCTGTTCTTTCATCAGCAAAATTGATAAAGGTACTATATTTAATAGTATTGTTAAAACTACAGGAGTGTACTGTGTATGCATGTATGTAGAATACAAGAGAAGTTATACTGTATACCATTTTTATTATGTGCTGTTGGGGTGCATAGGGACCCTTTGAACAAGAGATCTGAACCCTGTCTAATCTGTGCCATACTCACAATTTCTGACACACTTGAGCCTATTGCAGCCCTCGCTGTATCTGGTTGAGGGTCTTCCTCTCTGTTGCTCATCCTCCACCTTCCCAAGCATGATGGCTTGGAGCAGATGCACCTTAACCTTTTACACTGATATCTTTACTCCTTAGCACTTTATGCAGGCCCTTTACAGATTTCCCAATGGAATAGGTCTTTTGGTTTTTTTATTGATACCACCGTGGGTGTTTGATTATAGAGCCAAGTAAAATGAAATCCTTGACAAAATTCCTCATGTGCTCCCCAGCCTCATTTCTTTCACTAAGTTCATATTTTCCAATTACCATTCTTTCTGTTTCCAGTTTCTGCATTCTAGTTACCTGTTATTAATGTACCCTGATTGCATATTCAATTTCAGGATTCAAAAGTTGATAGAAATCCTCAATTTCTTTATCTTTGATTTTAGCACATGGTGTGTATATCTGAATAGCTGAATTGACAGGTTTTACTTGCATGCATATGGCTAGTATAGTAGTACTACTCACAGCTGTATACTGCAGCATAGATCCTGAAATCCTTTTTAGGTATGAATTTGACAATATTCCTCTTCAGTTTTTCATCCCTAGCGTAGTTGATCATGTTTGCCTGATTAAAAATAGCCAATACCAGTCCATCTCAGCTCACTAATGCCTACACTGTTGATCTCTAGGTATTCCATTTCATTTTATATAGCTTTTGGTTTTCTTAGATTCATACTGTGTACATACAGTCTCCCTTCCCATCCTTATTTGAAGTCCTGCCACATCACAAATGGTCTTTCTTCGAGTACAAGCTTTACTCCATCTTCGTCAGGAAGATGATCTCTCCTCTGAGGAGGCATTTCTTCCTCACTTGCATTTTCTGACTGGTTGACAATCTTGAGTGACTGATTTTCTGGCAGTGTCCAACAGCGTTCTCTTATTGAGGGGCTTTGGAAGACCTCTTATTTGGATGTGGATGGCTAATTCTGTTTATTAGTCTACAAGATCAGCTAGAACCTGTCCTCCACGGGTGTGACCTGTTGGTGTTTGAAATCCTAGGTGCGTAGCTGCTGGCAGAAAAGCAATACACAAGTCACCAGGTTGTTGCACATTTCACTACAATATTTTACTTTATCTTCTCAAGACACCCTTTGAAATCTTTTGTTCAGTTTTTGTATGACACCATTTATATTACTAATAATTATATTTAGAAGTAATCACTGTTAGAACTCTTACAAGCTAAAATACATTATTACAAATTAGAATATTTTAAAGTGAACACGTGACTAATGCTCCAACTTTTAGAAATTTTTATTAATTCCAGATATTTGAGAACAAAATACATTTCAGCATAGATTATAAATTAATAGCATACATTAATGAAATATGATATTTATATGAACATTTTCTTTTTAACTGTTGTGCTGTATTTCTAATTTTTAGGAATACAGAGCAAAAGAAATTACGATCATCAATCCTGCACAATTTCCTGATAAATCAAAAGTAACAGAATATTTGGAACCAGTTGTTTTGGGTACTATAATCACACCAGATGAGTATACTGGAAAAATAATGATGCTCTGCGAGGTATAAATGTAATGCATCTTAACCCTGAAGTAGCTTTTACTCCTTTGTAGCGGGGACTTCTCATCCGGGTTTTAAAAATTTTTTTCTCTTCTGAGAACAGTCAGCTTAATTCTCATATACATCTGTATACATACACACTCACAGGCACACACGTATAGATAGGTAGAGATCTGTAACTGTCTGTATAAGTGGGGTTAAAAAATACTTGTTACTTTGTTTTAAATAAGAAAAATAAAATCATTATTTTTTATTATCTTGTGTTAATGCATTGAATTGATGATTTTGCCCAAAAGAAACTAGATACTTATGCTGAGTAATTAAAAATAAGGGTGTTGTTTTTTTTTTAAAAAAAGGGGTTTTTTTTTAAGCTGCCTTGAGTACATGAAATGGAATACAGTTTCAACGACAATTATAGTGCTTCATTTTCATTTGAATTCAGTTTTGACAAAACAGATTATAATACTGGTTATAATTCAGAAATGTAAGGGCAAAACTAAATTTTTCACTCAAAGCTTTTAATGCTTTCTTATGTTTATAGCTGCTACTGAGATTATAAATATAAATGCATTTTAAACCCACAGATCACACTAGTTTTGAAAATCATCTATAATTATTTAATAGAGTATATAACTTTGGTTATAATAATTTTCTCTGGATCTACAAAGTATTATCAAACGATTAAAGAAATACTCCTTAGTTTTCCTCTTTTTATTATTAGAATTTATAAGGGAATATGGAGCTAGATATTTAATATAAGAATATATTGTTGAGTACTGTCGAGTCAGAACTGACCTATAAGCTGATCCTCCAGTGGGTTCTCAGAAGAGTTAATTGCACAAGAGGAGGTTGCCCATCCTTCTCTCATGCAGCAGCTGGTAGATTCGAACCATGTGCCTTTGGGTTTGCAGCGCACCTTCTTGCCACTAGACCACCAGTATATGTTAACTTAAATCATTATTTGAATGAGTTATAATTAAGCATAGTTTTCTCCTTTTTTAGGCTCGAAGAGCAGTTCAGAAGAATATGATGTATATTGATCAAAACAGAGTCATGCTTAAATATCTCTTGCCTTTGAATGAAATTGTGGTGGATTTTTATGATTCTTTGAAATCTCTGTCTTCTGGATATGCTAGGTAAAATTTAATGGAAAAGAAAAACTGATGCCTGGACAAATTTTTGACAGTTGACAATTGGAATGTAAGAATAAAAAGTCTTGGAGCCAGCAACTTTACAGGTGTCTGTCACAAAGTACTTGTCATTTGCTTATGAGAACATGAGTTTCTTAGAACAAGTTGTTAGCCTTCTCTTAAAGAAAAGAAGGATAATGTTATCTCTAGAATAATTGTATTCTTTCTGTGTTGTGATGAACAGTTTCAGATGATTTTTACAACTATTCTGATCTCTGGGTTTGAAATGTATTTGGGATCTCAGTAGTATGTATATACATTTTAAAAAAGAAAAGATTCCTAAGTATTAAGAAAGCATTAAAGAAAAAAAAAAGAAGAAAAAAAACAAAGGATTAAAAGCTTTAGATGAATAATTTAGGTATGCCCTTTGCATTTGTGAATGCATTAATTCCTTAGCCTTTCCAGAGTAAGATGTTTTTGGCATGAAAGCTAGTGTTTTATCCCATGGTGAGCATAGAGGGAGGAAAGTGTCTGATGAAAATGAAGGCAAAGTTACTATTAAATTAGAAAAAGTATTATGATATTTTGTTGTCAGTGCTCCAGTTTCTTTTATAATTAAAATAAGTATATATATTTTCTTCCTTGTCCGTGATTGAAAAGTATAGAAGCAAATGTAAAATTATCTCTTTAGATATCAGATAAGTATTTATATGCATATGGTTTGACTAGCAGTGAAAGCTTTGTCTATATTACTAAACTAAACTCATTCATTGATTCACTTATACTGACCCTATGTATTAAGAGTTTCTTAGCTGTAATCTTTATGGAAGCAGATAACCAGGATTTTTAGCTTCTAAGATGCTGCTGGACTGGCCCTAAGTATTTACCTGTGCTCAGCTCTATTATAAGCACTTAACTATGTACAAGGCACTGCACATTGCATGCATAGTCCAATTACTACAAGAGCTTCTATGAAGGTTGAAGCTGAAGTTCAGGGTGTCAAATCCATGTCTTTTTTTTTTTTTAAATGAATGACTATTTTTGTCAAGTCCAATGTACTTAGTTAAACAAATGGCACTAGAAAACTAAGCAGAAACCCAACTCATAACTTTGATATTGACTCTTAAAATTGTTTGTAAAAAGAGTGCTTTAGTGGTACACAGGTATTTAAGTCTCTGGCTCCTAACGAAAAGTTTGGGACTCAGTGTAAAAAAACGATGTATATGAACTTTATTAAGTAAACCTTGATAAAATAAAAATTTCACTTAAAAAAATATTTGAGACTGAAATTTATCAGTAACTGTACAGTCTTCTTCAGTAGAGATTACAGCTTGGAAATCCTTTGAAACACTTCTACTCTTTCCTACCTGTGACTGGAATTGACTCTCATAATGGGTTCAGTTATTGGTTTATTGTCTAGTTGATAATTAGCTGCTGGGAAAAATGGAAAGACAGTGACAGCTGCCTTCTGTAGGCTTTTCCCAACTCATCTTCCTAGTGTGGCTTACCAGTATCTCCCTTCCTTCTCGAGAGCATGTTCTGTGCCCTCAGCCCTCATTTATGTACGTTTGCCTCTCTGTTCATAAAAGTAGAAAAATAGACAAATCTGTTGTTTGCTCTGAACATTTAGATTCATTAACTTCCAACTATATTCATATGTAACAACTATATTTGTATCTGCAACATATATATAGTTGATGGAAATAGGCCAGGGAAAAAGATGTTTTGTAAAAGGTAAAACACAATCCGGGAATTAAAATGTTACTTATCACTGGGACCTTTTCCCTTTTTTCTTGTTAGCTTTGATTATGAAGATGCAGGATACCAGGTTGCAGAACTTGTAAAAATGGATATTCTACTGAACGGAAACATTGTAGAAGAGCTAGTAACTATTGTACACAAGTAAGTCCAAGAGAAACAAGTCATGGAATGTGAAAGTAATCATTTTTGTTGGTAATGATTGTTGATCTTTGAATATAACATGGATTTGAACTGTATGGATTGCCTTACAAGTACACTTTTGATAAAACACCTGTGACACTAATCTCCATGGGCGTATAGTTCTCTGGTAAATTACTTATCATAGTGAAAGTGATCTCACATGGTCCTTAGGCATTTTACATCATGTTTAGTGTGATACCATAAACTCTGCTTAACACAATTAGATTTTTATCAAGTTCCCCTAGTAGTAGTGATGCTAGGAGTGTTTGCAAGAAACAAAGTAATTATATTATCAGGAACAGTTGAATTGTTTGATATGTACCAGCTGTAGTTCTGTCTGTGTCGTTAAGATAAATGAATCTGGAGTAAAGACCAGTGGACAAAGAGGGTAAGTGATGGGATGAGGCAGGAATTCCACACAGTGATTACTATGCCAGTATGTAGATAACCTTGCACTTTTTGTGAAATGTTTTACTCATATTGAAATGTAAGTTTTTATATGAGGGCAATAGGTGATACACAAAATATGTGTGAGTTGACTATATTATATTGAAGTGTTCAGTCAGCAGTAGGATATTAAAAGTTTTTGGGTAATCAGAAGATTTTTGAATGCTTATGGTACCAGCACCCCTCCCCCTTATATTGCTTAAAATCAGGTGTAATTAAGTTTCCCTGTATTTTCCCCTCAAAGCTTACTCCAAACTTAAAAATATAAAAGGGGGAGAAATATGATAGTCACACACACAGTACCATGAAAAGAAATGTTTCCCATATAAGGTAAGACAGAAAGAAAAATCATATAATACTGGAGGTTAAAAATTAAATACATTTTTTAAGAAATAAGGGATTAAAAAAAGAAGTAAGATTCATAAAAATAAACTACAGTTCCTATACATCTATGAAATTTATTGTAGAGTGATACTTAATGGCATATAAAAATGTTTTTAGTAAGTAAAAATTGTACCGATAGTACAGACTATAATCTGAACTGTAAAAATTTGATATAAGAACATGATCATAGTAAAATGATTAGCAGGATAGACATTTAAAATTTTAATTAGCAGCCCTTGAGTCAACCTCCATGCACAGTGGAATCGTGTACTGTACCATCCACATAACTTTTTTCAGATCAGGCCATAGGGGCTCCAGTGGCTGGTTTTACTAACTAGATTACCAGGTTTTACTTGCTCAGAAATGTAATACTGTTCGTCTGCAGCTGAAGGGACAGGCATCAAGAATAACTTCTCTTATGTAATATGTTTTTCCCCCAGAATTTTCTATAATTATTCTATCATTTTTATTTTTCATATTTAGTTTTGAGTTTTATTTTGTATGCAACATATTTTCTCTAAGTTAACATAAAAAGCTCACTGAAATTGAGTGGCTCAGGGAAAAGATTGCAATCTATGCAATTAGAAATCATATAGATAAATTTATGATACGAATTCTGTTTGAACTTATAAAATCACTCTTAGAGTGGGTATAATTTAGAACTAGACAGCTACTATAGTGTTATTTAGCTGCCATAAAGAAGTTGTATTTTTCTTTTGCTCAGAGACAAAGCACATTCCATTGGCAAAGTCATATGTGAACGTCTAAAGGATTCTCTTCCTAGGCAACTGTTTGAAATAGCAATTCAAGCTGCTATTGGAAGTAAAATTATTGCAAGAGAAACGTGAGTTAAAATTCGTATTTGTTTTTCAGCTGGTTTTAGAAATGATACACCTAGCAAACTAAAGAAAATATAAAATACTATTAAGTTTAGGGTGCTCTAGTAGCCTAGTAGCAAGAAGCTATGCTGCTATACCAAAGGTACATGGTTCGAGGCCACTAGCTGCTCCACAGGAAAAGGATGGACCATCTCCTCTCCTGCAGTTAACTGCTTCTGAAAACCCACTGGAGGGTCATCTATGGGTCGGTTCTGACTTTTGGGTACACAACAACTATTAAGTTATATGTAGTAACCCTGTCATAGAGCTACGTAATTCTTCCACTAATCTAACAATCAATGACTATTGATTTTGAATTACTCTCATAACACTTTAGTAATGTTATTGATAGTTACAGGTTTCTATAGCCTGTATGTGCATGAAATAGGGGCTTTTTAGGTCTTCTTTTATTTTCATCAATCACACGAGTAAGGAAAATTTTTTTTTTCAGTTAGTTACTTTGGGCTTTATTTCTTTAAATTACAAGTCATCTGCAACTGACAGTGAAAAGTTTTGGCGATAACTCTTTGAGAATAAAAATTATGGCTCTTTTTAAATCTGAATCATTTAATATGAGTTTCCTAGAGATAAAGTAATTGCTTCAGAAAGAAATGCTTAAATATTCCATGTTAAGCTTTGCTTACACCTGTCCTTTTATAATAAGAGGTAGAGATGTGTGAGTGTATATCCCTCATTTACACACACATACATGTATGTATGTATGCACAATTCATAGGAGGTATATATTGCAGGATAAGGCAGTGTTTCCTTCTGTTGTCAGAAAGTAGCTTTGAGTCCTGGTTAGCTTGATGGCACCTCACCATATATGTTGGCATAAACTTATTTTTACAGTATATTTAATTTCTAGTGGTATTGTTGAAAGCATTTGGCTTCTACCACAAGGTTGGTGGTTAGAACCAATCAGTTGCTCTGTGATAAAAAAAGATGATGTAGTACTCAGTCATATAGGGTTGCTCAAAGTCGGAATCGACTGAATAACAGTAAGCTTGGGTTTTGTCTTAGCAATGTTTTGTTTCGATCAGTCATTTGTGTTTCCTGTATACTCAGATTAGGCAGCAAAGTTGGCAACTATGGAACATCTTGACAAGAGGAATTAAAATAACAAATAATGTGCTAACGTAGACTCTCTTGACGTAGGGAACATATTAGGGGAAAAGAGGTAGTTTTTTTTTGAGAGAATGGAATTTTTTTAATATATATATATATTTTAATGAAAGTTTATAGAGAACTCTGATTTCCATTCATTCATTGTTGCACATGTTCCTCCCTGTCCCTTCTCCCCTCCATTTAGCTTTTATTAAGGAATGAGTAAAAATGGATCTGGTTTCAAAATTTGAATACCTGTACATGCCTTAGAAACAGATTGTAAATTTTTATAATTCTTTGTATGGCTATAGTAAAATTAGTTTACACTGTAGCAAGTTCTATTAAAATCTTTGTATTTCTAGCTAATTTACCTATAGTCAATGAAATTCCTAAAGAGACAATAACCATTTTAATTATTGTTTAGTTGTAATATTTGGTGAGATGGATTTTGACTCAGTGACTGGGGTAATGAGGGTAGGTATGTCAGAGACAGTAAGATTGGATCAGGACAGAGCAGGTTTCGGGGTTGTGTCACAAAGCATTGCTATGAGTTACAAGCGACTCGACAGCATGTAACAACAACGTTATTGTTAGAGGCCATTGAGTCACTTGTGACTCATAGCAACACTGTGAACAACAGATCTGAACCTTTTAGATTGAGCCAGAAATCATTTCCAAATATGGGCAGTCAAGCCTGATTACCTTAAGCTTTGAAAATTTTTCCTTAATAAAATTTATTTTGATTGTGTTGAATTCATTTGATGTTTCATGCAAAGTACATGAAAGTAAAAAGTTTTTAAACTATGTAATTTTTATAAGATGTAATTTTACATAGGCATGACACTCTTTAAAATACTTTGAAGATTGCTTTTGGAAACAACATACTTTTAAACAATATGCAGTTATATATAATTATACAAAACTTTCTCTTTTACAGTGTGAAAGCCTACAGAAAAAATGTTTTGGCAAAATGTGTATGTATTTATTTTATTTTATAATAATATACATATTTGGGGTTAAGATGAGACAGTATACATATGATAGTTTCCATTATTTTTGGTTTATTGCTTTTATAATACTCTCCATCATTTTCCTTTTCTTTTTAAATGGTTAAATTCTAGCTTTACACATAGTAATTGTATCATTTTAACCATGCTTATTTATTTATAAAAATTCCTTCACATAATACTGAGATGCAGGTTGACATGTCTTGAGAAAATCTACAATCAAAGATTTTGAAGATAATCATTCTCTTCAACTAGCAATAATATGAGAATTCTCATTTACAGTAACTTGCTGAATTTGCTGTCTAGCCTTTAATAAAAATAATCTTAAAAAAAAATTAAAAAAAAAATAATCTTAATTCACTTATTTTGAGAAGGAAGATGCTTTTTCTGAATGTTTAACATAATTGTTACATTTAAGCATTTGTGGTTAAGAGTAACAAAATAAGGAGCTTTGGAGGCATAGAGCAAATCAGGCTGATATGGAGAGGTCAACAGTTTGAATCCACTAGGCACTGTGCTGCAAGAGAGAAAGTTGGGCAAATCTCTACTTGTATACAGCCTTTGAAACATGATGGAGAGTTTCTGTGGATTAAAACTAACTTGGTGGTAGTGGATTTTTTTTTTTTAATTATTAACAAAATTTTGCATCAATAAGGAGAGAAGAACATTTTTCTTGGGTATGTATAAATAAAGATTATCTTTTTTTTAAAGATAGTAAACAGGTAGAAAGGGGATTATATAGGTAATATTGCAGATTTCTACCTTCTGGATATACTTTAAGGCTGTTATCATGGTATATATGTTTCTATATGTAATTATATCTTAAGAGTATTATGAATTAATTCAAACTTAATATCTAAAACTATTTTACAGTATGGTGGTGATATTACTCGGAAAATGAAACTTTTGAAGAGACAAGCTGAAGGAAAGAAAAAACTGAGGAAAATTGGCAACATTGAAGTTCCAAAAGATGCTATTATAAAAGTTCTGAGAACACAACCTAAAAAATAATTGCTAGAAAAATACAAAGAATTTTCATAAATAAAATGTTTGCATCTTTTTTTAATATTTAGATTAGCAGTAAGTGAGAATTATGAAAACGGGCTTTTATTTCAGTACAGAAATTACTTTCAGGGTTTTCAGGTTTAAATAAGCTACTTGCTTTTCTGTGAAAGAGAATATAGTTGACAAGGTCACTGAATGGCCTCAAATTCCTATTCCACAACTCTTTAGCAATACCTATAATACTATTTACCTGTTAGATTGTGACAAATTTTAAATGTTTTCTAAGTATCTTATTTGTTAGCTGGATCAATTTGTTATTTATGAAATGGTCATCATATAAGGGCAAAACCATTATCTAAACATATATTCCAATTTTTTACAACATTTTAGCATATTAAATGAAGGCAAAACTATTCTTACACATCTGTAATATACAATATTCATTTAAACAAAATTATGCTAGGTGCCTTATGACATAACAACTCTGTGAACTTTGTTCTACCTGCTCCATGCTCATTCTCTGACATGTTCAAAGCATGTGAGACCAATTTTCACCGTCCTTGACTCAAAGGAGCACTCAGGTTGCACTTCCTCCCAAGATAGATTTATTCTTTTGGCAATCCATGGGATCTTCAGCACTATGCTAACACCACGGTTCAAAGGCATTCATTCTTCTTCAGACTTAATCATTACCCAACTTTCAGATGTACAAAGAAGCAATTAAAATACCATGGCTTTATTATGTCACCTTAGCCTTTAAATTGGCATCTTTGGTTATCAGAGCTTTAGAGAGGTCCCTCACAGAATTCCTTAGTTCAACAAGTTTTGATTTCTTGAAGCTGCTGCCATGGATGTTATTGTGAATCCAAGTCATACTTGAGATGTACCCCATATTGAAGGTTTTAAGTTTTGATCTTACTAAGTACAACAGATCTTTATTTTTTGCAAGCAAGACTATCATCTGCATAATGCAAGCTACTGATGAGTCTTCGACCAATCCTGATGCCACATTCTTTGTATGCAGTGTTTGTGTTAAATATTAATGTACAGATTTTATAACTGAGACTGAAGTTCACAGAAGAAACTCAAAATAGTAAATGGCTGTCTGACATTATGCATGTGTTTGACCTCCATGCTATGGCCCAAGGAAAGGACAGATTTAATGTTTGCTTTCTAGAGTGACTTGAGTGTCTTTGCTTGTAGACTATCTATGAGGACTCTTAATAGAATTATCACATCATGAATCACAGTGTGGGTTTATTTATAATTTCTAAGAAATTTAAATAATCTACAGTTTGTTGTGGGAACTCCGGTGGACTAGAGGTAAGGAGCTACGATGCCAGTCCACAGGCACAATTTTGAATCTACCAGCTGCTAGTCTGCAATGAAGATGGGCAGTCTGTGTATTTTACTGCCTTTGAAAGCCCACTAGAAGGTCCGTTTTTCCTACTGGAATGGTCTCTGTGTTGCCAGCAGGTAATTAAAAATACCAAGAGAGTCACCCATGTTGCACAGGTTTCATGGAAGCTCCAGATAGGCTGACTTACCAAGCAAGTATAAGCATTCAAACTTAACATGCCTTCCAAACTGAAGCCCTATGAATAACAAATATTAGTAGATACAGTGCAAGATGGGGCCCCGTAGGTTGGAAGGCCCTTAAAAAACAACTGGGAAAATCTGCCTCGAAGTAGAGTCTATCATAATGCTGCAGGAGTAATGATTTCACCCATTGAAAGGCCTTTATTTGCTGATGTAGTTAGACTTGAATGAGGAGAAACAGCTGTAGATACCCATTAATGACTGGAACATGTGATGGACAAGGTACATACATACATGAAAATGAGTATCTGATGGACAACGACATAGATACATAAAAATTAATGAAATGGTGACAGAAAACAGCCTAGTCATCACTGAGCTAGATGGTCTGATACTGGTCATTTTTAATCACAGAACTGATTTACTATACCAGGAATGAAGAGGATTTGTGTCACATCACCAAAAAAGTACAGTGCTATGAGTGGTAGGATACTCTCGATATGCGCACAAGGAAAACCTGTTAATTCAACTATAACTAAAATACAGACACCAACCACTAAAGCCAAAGATAAATTGAGGATTTCTACCAACTTTTGCTGGTACCAAGGGTGTTTGCTGTGGATTCAAGAAAGATGAATTTCGTTGATGCAGAATATTTTCTCCATCTATCCTGATGTTGCTTATTGGTCCAGTGATAAGAATCTTTGTTTTCTTGACATTGAGATACAATCCATATTGAAGGCTGCAATCTTCTGCAGCAAGCACTTCAGGCTCTCATCACTTTCTGCAAGCAAGTGTCCTCTGCATAATGTAGGTTATTGATGAGTCTTTCTCCAATCTGCACATTTTGTAGAGTCCAGGTTCCTGAATGATTTGCTCAAGACACAGACTGAATAGCTATAGAGAGAGAATACAACCCTAACATAAACCTTTCTTCATCTTAAACCATGTAGTGTTCCCACAACAGAGCAAGCAGTCAGGAGATTAGGAGACCTATTGTACTGGGAAAGTTTGCAGTCAAGGACCTCTCCAAATAACTGAGCGATGATGTCAGTTTGAGGAATAAGGTATGGCTGATTCCAGCCATGGTCTTTTCAGTTACTTGGTGTGCACCTTAGAGTTGGACAATAACTGATAAAATTGATAACTTTGTTGAAGTGTGCTGAATATCCCATGAAATGACAGCAAGCAGATAATGCCTTGAAGAAGGTGCAGACATAGTGCTCCTTGGAGACAAAGATAACAAAGCTTCATCTCACATCCTTTGGGCATGTTGCTAACAGAGGCTGTTTATTGGAGAAGGCCATCATGCCTGGAAAGGTGGAGGGCAAGGGGAAGGAAGACTCAAAACAGATGTGATGACACCATTCTCGCAGCAATGGCCTCAGTTGTGTCAGAGATAATGGCACAGGACTGGACTGTGTTCACGGGGTCACTATGGATCATATGCGACAGCGTCTAACAGCACCATCACCAACTTTTGCAGTCTGAAACTGTTCAAAGATGCAATCAAAATGCATTAGTAACTGATGACTAGAATATAAATACTGGAAACAAAGAAGAGTGATTAAAATATGGCCTTTGTGACAGAACTGGAGAATGCATGGCAAAATTTTATACAATAATTTCTTCATTGTAAATATTGCTTATAGAAAACAAACAGCTATTATATACATGTATGTCACCTGACAACTACCCAGGAATCTGGAAAATGACTGGAAAAGCTTCAGTATCTACAGTCAAAACTAGGCTAGGGGCTGACTGTGGATACCAACTGACTATCTGTGCAAGTTTGAAGTAAAGCTGAAGAAAATAAACAGGTCCACTAGAACCATGAAACTATCCTGCCTGAATTTAGAAACCAGGCTTAATGCACTGAAAACTAGTTACTGAAACCATTACAAAGAGGGAAGAAAGACTAAAATAGAAGGCAGAAGTCATTGAAACTTGCACTCCAATGAGAAGCCCAAAGAAGGAATGTGGAATTAAGGGGATGAGATTTCAGAAGTCAGTTCAGAAAGACAGCATAAAATATTAACAAAATGCAAAGAACTGGAGTTGAAAAACCAAAAGGAATTAACACACTTGGCATTTCTCAAGCTGAAAGAACTGAAGAACAAATTCAAGCCTTCAAAAGGTTTCTATGGGCAAATCTTGAATGATACAGGTAACCTCAAAAGAAGAATGAAGGAATACAGAGTCACTACCAAGAATGTACTTGGGGCGGTGGGAGGGGTGTGGGGGGATTGTGTACCAGGGAAGGAGTGTTTCTTTTACGTTTGAAAGAGAGGAGCGAACTGGGGGGTGGGGGGGGGGGGGAGGATGGGCAGGGAGAGAAGTGCAGCAATGAATGAATGGAAATCCAAAATCTCTGTAAATGCTCATTAAAATTATT